TGGTCCCACCTATCGTGTTCAGCCGTCTCACCCTTGGGTTCTTTCACCCTTCCATTGATGTAACCAGCTTTACCCCTTGCCGTTACATAGAGTTTTACACTCTTAGCCCACTCCAGGTAGTTCAGACCGTTTAAAGGGGTAATTGGCATGGGAAAAACCATGTTTTCACCTTCCATACCCGCTGTGCTGTGGGTTGGTTTAGCCCCCGACGAAGGTAATTCATGACTTGCCATTGAATACTACTGAAAACCAGTCCAAATATCACCCAACAACACAGCCGCCACAATCAGAATGTGAACAACTCAGGGTTTTGTTATGGACGCATTCGTGGGGAAGAAGTACCGCCGCCGGCAGCAGCAGTAACGTGGGACCCTCATCAGATTATCTAGCTAGCCACAGTTCATCTTACCTTATCCTTATCTTATCTGCTTTCTTACTCTTATCTTATTTGTACCAATAAGGATTAGTATAGAGTCTGATTTATCTTAGGGAGTTTTATCCTTCTTGAGTTAGGGAGTCTTATCTAGGAGTCTTATCTATCTTATCTGTAAGCAGTTTAGTTAGTCTTATCTAGGAGTCTTATCTATCTTATCTGTAAGCAGTTTAGTTATCAAGGAGTCTTCCTACAAGGAGGACTCTTACCTCTTGTAATCTCCTATTTAAGGAGCTGAAATTATTGAATAAAGATATCAAATTTCCAGTCAAGAAAGAGAGTAAAAGGAGAGTTCGGTGATCTCTCGGACAAATCACCCTCTAGGATGCCAAGATAGGTTCAGCTAGGAAGGGGAGGAACAAGGGAAAACAGGAGCTTTTCCCCGTGGACCGACCCATGACGAGATCCTATTCCCGGGCCCATAACAGGTTTACTCCTAGAATGTGAGCGAAAGAACACTAAATATTGCTGAGAACACAGGGAATACTGCTAAGAACAAGGGGTTCAGTCAACACAACGTCCAAACAGAACAATAAATCAGTCCGGTAATCGGTTCAGCACCACCAATACAGTCATTACAATCAGTCTGACTGTAGTTCACACACTCTAACCATCCAACATCCAAACAAATAACTATATAATCAAGGCATGAGCCCTACGCACCATTGGGCAAAGAAGGCTGAGACAAACTGAAACAAAAAACACACCTGTTCAGCACTTGTACGAAGGTGCTAATCTGAACTTGACTTCACAGCATCGAACAGAGGAGTCTGCACCAGCATCACCCTTCTCCGACTAGGGTTTTCTTGCTATTACGGCCAGGAAAAAGAGATCACAAAAAACTGCTAGGGTTTCCCAAAAAACTGCCGCCAAACAC